CCACAGTTACAGACCGTTGTCGGTTCGTATATATTTTATTATTTTATTATATTATTTTTTTTGGACCAATTTCTGTCCGCTTATTTCAATTTCTCAATAATTATTTATATTTCTTACTGAAATATTCGGACCGATTTCTGTCCGGATAGTATATATATACGAACCGATTATACGTCGGTCTGTATATTAGACTTATTCGTACCAGGTTTTTCAGATCAACTATAACGACAAATATCGGTCCGTATATATATATTCAGACCGATTTCCTATATATCCGGACCGATATTTCGGTTTGGAAATCCCATTCCTGCAGTAGTGTTATCAATTGGTTTTATATTGAATGCATATTTTGTGTTGAAACCTACGTGCATAATTTTCATATGGTATTAGAGCTTAGATTTCTGTCTTAAGAAACCCATTGTTAGCCTGTCGAGATGACCCAATTTGAAGTTGATATCGAGTCTATATGTAAGGGGACATATTAAATCACGAGATATGATTTAATATTGCATGTGAAGGGACATGTTAAATGAAAAAATCCCATAATGAATAAATAATAAAAAAAGAATATATATGGATAAAATATAAGAAAAACTACTTTATTTATTACCAATTAATTTTAAATTAAATACAACCCTTATATTGAAATCCACATGTACAATTTTCACACTTACAAAGACAACACTTTTATATAATTTTTTTATGTAACATCTATGTAACCTCCACAGGTTATTAAAAAAAAAAAGATTTTTATCTGCCTGCAATCATACCTATTCAAAAGTTCATCAAGGATGATGAAAAGCTATATAAATTCATCCAAAGTAAAGGACCCACAGGCGAGACCGGACCCACGGGCGAGACCGGGCCCCTGGTTCTGGTGTTAATTTTAGTTGCTTCCTTATATGGTCTCTACAACTACATTGTCATGCTTAGCTTTTTGGGGTACAACTAAATAGAAACTAAGTAGGTAGAAACGCAAGTACACTATGGCACATTTGGTATAATAGTTTGGAGGTAATAGTTGACGGTTTTGTCCAAATTACTAAATGATATATATTTGGTAAATTTATTTATTTTCAAACTATTATAAATTAAGCATTTGTAAAAAAATTTTACTTAATAGTTTGAAACTAACAAATAGTGATTAGGATCCAAACCACTAGTGAATTAGAAAATCTACATAAGGTAACTTTTTATATTAAATTGCTAGTAAATTGAAATTTTTTTATTTTATTGATAAATTTATCCATTTAAAATTTTTAATTTTTCACCACAATATTTAATTACCACTTAACAAATTAGTTTTAATTTTTATTTTTTTCTTTTTAATAACATTAAAGAATTATTATACTTTTATTTTTCACTTTAACTTATCATAAAAAAATTTATTAAGTTAATAAACATAATTTAATAATTAGATTGGGGTTTGCTAAGGTGAAAGCCTCTCCAGTGTCACTGAATATTGCCTCAAATTGGGGTTTAGAGATATTGTGTATAGGAGGAAGAGACTAATTCTTGAAGTTCGACTTGCTGATTTTTTTTTTTTGTAATTAGATTTGGTAGCAGCCTAAAAGGCTAATGCTGCCTTGCATATGAATTTTGGTGTTATAGGTAATAAAATTCACATTTTACCTAAAAACAAAATTTAATAATTAAACGAAATAATTAAAAACTTGTTTTTTATTTAAAAATAATAAAGTCTATAGTGATATTGCCTTCATGGGGGTGTTGGATGATAAAGGGAAATAAGCTCTTTGCGAAGCCAGCGGACGTCTGCCACTAGCACCGTTGCTAAACTATGATGTTCCTTAGTGCCATCTGTAGACACAAAAAAATTCAATCTTCAGATCATGTGATAAACCAAAGTTAGACCAGCTTCGCCTATCATCACTTACACCAAATCAAAATCCAAAATCAAGAATGGTGGCAAAATTATAGAATATTAGGTTTCATTAAAATAAATCAAATTAAGACACATGCATGGTCAAATAAAATGATGACACATATTTTATTAAAATTAAATATAATCAAGCAAGTAACAGAATTGTATGACCTAATGAAAAGATGTTAGATTATTCCTTTAAAAATGCCTCTTTCATTTGCCTATAAATAAAGGTATTCACCATAAAAAGAGGCACCCCAATTCCAGAGAGAGAAAACCCTTAATTTCGAAGAGAAACACAAGCACTTTATTGCAATTGTGTTTCAAATCTCATGAAAGCCTTCAAACCTTCTAATTCTTCTCAAACTTTCCCCTTGTTGAGATCAAGCTTCATTCAAGCCCTCGTCAGGATCTACATCAATTAGAACACACACAACTCTAGAGAGAAGCACAAGCACTTTGCATCTCGAATCTTGTGAACGCATTCAAATCTTCAAGTTCTTTCCAAACTTTTCTCTTGTCAAGATCAAGCAAAGCCCTCGTCGAGATCTACATCAATTAGGAGACCGAATTAGAGGATTACTTTAAATTCTGTGTTTACTTGGAGGTACTACTCATAAATCTTATATCAATACAAATATTCTTTTTTTGCAATTTTTCTTGTCTATCTAATTTTCAAGAACAAAATTATTATCAACAAAATTTTAGCATGCCCACTAGGACATCTCAACCTCTTCTCCCTTTCTCTTACAAAGAAGGTCACAAATCTAAATGCTATGTCTGCAAAGAATGCTTTGGTTACTAATGATCCAAAGGCCACCAAGAAGGGCATTACTGTCACTAGCAATAGTAACACCTTTTTGAGTTACAACACTTGTAGCATGGCTAAGATTATTAGTGCATCATCTTTTCATTCGATTACATCCAACACACCTATTATGGAAAAGAAGGAAGTCGTTGTAAGTCGTGCTAACCAACTACTTTCGGTGCTTGAGGATTTCATGAATAAGAGTGGTTTTCCACATGCAGTCTCTAATTTTGAATTAAGCACTGGTTTTCAATCTAGATCCACCCTAAATTCTCCAAAGGGATCTTACTCACCAAGCTTGTCAAGGACTATTTTCATGCCCGCGTTCATGACACAACCTGAGATTGTTAAGGAAAGGATTGCTAGTTGGCTCAAGCTATCAACAAACTAACTCAAACTAACTCAATCTCTTTAAGCCAAAGATCTGCTCATCGCCAATCACACAAGCAAGCTTGAAGCTTTGAATGTGAAAGAGTTAAGCAACAATCAATTCCAACGTCCCTATGATGTTTTTTAAAATGAATAGTTCCAAGTTATCACTATTGCCCACGCAACACCACAAAATACAATGGTGGTGCCTATTGGTGTATTATTAGTGCAATAGCTATATGATATGGTCAATGATGTCATCTGAACTTAGTATGGTGGCCCCCCTTCAAAGTCTTTACTAAAATACTCCAAGCCACATATACCAAGTGGATCAACAACTTGGCAATGCTTGTAGGTTATCAGTTGCCTAAGTTTAAGTATAACAATAAGGGTAATCTATGGCAACACAACGCTTATTTTTTTGAGACTTGCAGCAATGCAAGAACAAGAGGAGATCTCCTTACCAAGCAATTTATGCGTATGCTTGTGGGGAATGCATTTAAGTGGTACATTGATATGAAACTCAAGTTGATAGATAGTTAGGGGCAAATAGAGCCCAAATTCTTGAATTGTTTTTATAGTACTTGAAGAATGGTGAGTATAATGGAACTAACAAACATCAAGCAATGGAAAGATGAGCTTATGGTTGACTACATCAATCATTAGTATACGCTAAGTCTTGATTATAAGGATCATCTAACAGAAATTTTGATAGAAGAGATATGCATCTAAGGTATGCATTAAGGGCTCTTTTACATCCTACAAGGTATCTAGCCTTGTAGTTTTGAAGAAAAGATGACTTGCACCCATGACAAGGAAATTAGCCTCGCCAACCATGTAGGGAAAAATTAACCTATTCCCGATCAAGGTAAAGAAAGGGAAGTCAAAACATTTGATAAGGCTGTGAAGAGTTCTTTTGCAAAACTAGTAAAGGAAGCTCTATTTGCTACCTCCACTAAGCCTGTTAAAGTTGGAAAACCTTGGAATAATAAAGGGTCAAATTTCTCAAAGACTAAAAGCATTATTTGAGCTTGAAGGAAATGGAGAACAAGACTTACCCATTCCCAAATTTTGATGTAGCAAAAATGTTAGGCAATATGTTAGAAAAAAAAAAGTGATTGAATTACCTAAGTTTAAGCATTTAGAAGAAATAAGGTGCTAATGATCCAAAATACTACAAATACCATCTCATTATCAGTCATCCAATGGAAAAGTGTTTCATGTTAAAAGATCTAATCTTAAGGCTCGTTGAGGAAGGGAAGATTGAACGTAACCCTAAGGAGTATGCTAACTCACACCTTGTCATCATTGTAAGACAACATCTGCTACCATTGGTGAAGATATTTCAACCAACAATTCACTTCAAAAGTAATCACTAGGAACCATGCAATTTGGATCATTTGATCTAATCTTCTATTAACTCTCTTGCCAAAAGTGAGCAAGACCATTAGTGAAGAAAGTGCCCTAAAAGATGTTAATGCTGAAAGGTTGATACTGGTGACTCATAAAAGATAAAGGAAGCAATGTGAGTGTAAAACTTGTGTTGTTTAGACGAAAAAGGCAATTCAAACTAAGGAATAAAGGGTAAGCATGAAATTAAAAATTCATTTTGCAAAGCCTCATAAGGAAAGGCCATGGCAAATTTCCATACCCTAATCAACTTAGGAGATTTCTTTCCACAAGGATATCTTAGTGAAGAGTTAATTATTTTAATTCATGCTACTTCAAAAGGTAAAGGATCTGACCATAGTGAATCCAATAGCGTTAAGATGCATTAAGCGAAGGAAGGCCATGTTGAAGGAAAGTTAATAGAGGCTTTTGAAAGTTCATCTCCACTGAGCATCCAACAAGCAACTAAACTTGGTAAGGTGATGCAAGATGCTTTTGTTCAAGCCCTTAACGAGCTTAGAAAGTATGCTATTAAAGAATAAGGGGTCAACACATTTAAAGTTGGCTCTTTTAAGTGCACCACATGTTGTGTAGTTGATGAAGATTTACAATTAGGCTTAAAGCCACACAAAAAAACCTCTTTTTGTGTTTGATTACATGGAAGAGCAAAGGGTTAATCGTATCTTGGTAAACAATGGGTCTACAACCAATATCTTACCAAAAATAGTCATAAAGAAATTGGGCATCTTTATGGAAACACTACAAAATGGTCGGCTCATTATTCAAGGCTTTAACCAAAATGGGTAATAAGTTATCAAAATGATCTGCTTAGAGTTGACAATTGATGAGTTGAAATTAAGTGTGTTATTCCACCTCATTGATGGCAAGACTTTATACAACTATTGCTAGGGCATCCTTGGATTCATGCCAATGGCATAGTGCCATCAACTTTGCACCAATGTTTCAAGTACCATAGGAATGGGGTGAAGAAAGTCAAGGCAAATTCCAAACCTTTCACATTAGTAGAATCTCACTTTGCTAATGCAAAACTTTATATTGAGCCAAAAAAGATTGTACAAGTCCTTCCAATAGAAATTTGCTTTATTGGAATAATAAAATTTGTTAAGGGCAAGCAAGTTGATCTTCATAACAAACAAGTTCTAAGTCTAAAGTTGGTGGATGTTGAAAAAAGAAGTGAGGTCATTAAGTTGAATTAGCCTGCAAGTTTCAAGTGCATTCCAAAACCAAAATATATAAGGAAAGAAAGTCAATCACCATTTAGACTTGCTTAAGAATCCAAAAGAAAAAGGGTAAAACCTTTCCATCAGATAGAAATGAAGATGTTTAGGTAATTAAGGCAAATACTATAATCCCTTTGCCAAATCATACCTAGTTTGTACCTCTCAAGATGCTTTTAAAAGGAGCTATTACATTGAAGCAAAATTCAAATGGGAAATTTACAAAAACTGTCCTTAAGGGTTTTGTTGGCAAAGGCCAAGTATAACTAAGAAAAGCCACCCCTATTAGGCAAGCTGAACCAAAATATCACAAGTGAAGTTAAGCAGGGTCTCAACCAAAATAAATGAAGTTGAAGAAAATATATGTGGTTAAATTCATCGAAGATGGCATCAACTTCAAAGGTAATGCTTCGATGCACATTTAAGTTAAAAGAAATGTAGAAACCTCCTAACATATCTCAATAGAAATTAAGGAGTGAGGAATCCAAGGACAAAGAATCTATGCCTTGGCTATGAGTATTTAGTGGCTTAGGCACTTCCACTAAAACAAATAGGTGAGAAGCTACATCTTGACAATTGGTATTAATCGCTTGAGCACCTCTGCCAAAGCAAGTAAGTAAGAATCTAAGTCTCGTCAATCAGTGTTTAACCATTCAGGTGCCTCTGTTAATAAAGCTAAAAGATGACAAAGAAATTCACAGCTTCATGCCTTCATGCATGAAACACCATGTGACTTGGGTGGAAAGTATTGGAGAATTGCTTAAAGTTAAAAAGCATACAATTGTGCATACTAAGATGGGCATGGAAAAGCAACTTGAAACTTTAGATGAGAAGGGACTACAAGCTCAACAACAATTAGAGTGCTGTAAAGCTCAACTTATCAAAGCTTATAACAAAAAAGGTGTGACTGTGTTTATTTTAAGTTGGGGGATTCAATTCTTACTGTGCACCGACTGATCAACTTTAACAATTGAAATTGGAAATAAGTTTACATTAAAATGAGATGGTCCTTTTGTTGTTCAAGACGTTTACATCAATAAAGTATACAAGATCCATTGATAAAGATGGATTAAGAGTCAGCCTAATTAATGGGAAGTTCTTGAAACACTTTTTTGCCTAAATGATTTTGCAAGTAAAAATGTCATGTTCCTTGTCACAAGAGTATAAACTATGTGACCAAAAAAGAAAAAATATATAATACTCCTTGTTGTAAAAGAATACACCATATGACAAAAAAAAAATGTAATACTCCTTGCCTACATGAGTATAAATTGTGAAAGGCACAAAAAAAAAAAAAAAAAAGTTAATGTATTGAACTACATTTGACTTGATCCCACTAAGGGGTATGTAGGTAGTTTGAATTTAAATTTCAAGTTCAGTTGAGAATATAAAATGAGCTCAATTTGCACAGAAAAAAAAGGGGGGAGAAAGAAAAAAGCAAGTAAATACAACTTGCACAAAATTAGAAAATGAAGGAATTCTTTACTTCTCTTAAATAGAAGTGTCCATGAAAAAGAAAAGGGGGCATCCTACTTAGACTAATCTAAATACTTAAGATCTTTTAGCTCATTCCTAAGTAACTCTTCAAGTGTCTTCAAAGTTTGCATATTAGAAGCAGTCAATGTAAGTGAACTCTTAATGATAGAAATTTTGTTAGTAATGTGTTGGACTTCTTGGTGATCACTTGCATACTTAATATCAACCCACATAATGGTCTTATGTAGCTCTATTAACTGTGCATCTAATTGTGCCTCCCTTGTTGTAGTTGAATATTTCTATCCTTTATACACTTCAATTCAGCAAGATGCTTCTGACACATTTATGGCTCTATTCTCTAGGGACCTAACATTATCAAGGCAAAATGTCTTCTTAGCCAAAATTTGGGCATGAACCTTCAATCATAATTGACTAGAATAGGCAATCTACACTTCTAAGTACTATGAAGAATTTGACAAATATTTCTTAATACAATCATTCAAAGGAGAAGGGTCAACACCATTCACTAAGATTATGGCATAAAGATGCCCCAACTCTGGTAGTAGCACTAGGAACAACCTTATCATAAAAGGTCCTAGTTATAGGAAGCCTAATATTCAAGCAGAAGTCCCATAAAGAGATTGATACTTCACCAATTGCCATGTGAAGTGTTTGTTGTAGAACATCATAACTCACAAAATGCACAGACAATGTTCGGGTTTCAAGCATAAACAAAAAGAGAAGCACATATTACATCTTAAAGGTAAAGCTTTGTTTAAGGATGAATTTGTATTGCTTCGGAATTTACAACATGTGCAATACTATGTCAACAAAACCAACTTTAGATTTGTGACTAGCAAGGACCCAAATGATCTATTTCCACATTAAACATGTTGTATTTCATTTTCTATTGATGGTCACAATAAAGTCAACGTTGCCAAAAACGACGTTCACCTACTTCGTTGGAAATATTGCAAACATGATCTACTTTAATACCATTATCATATACATGGCCAAACATGGCTACATTTATCTACACGACATGGTTGGACATCTTTTGATAGTTATGATCTCTATTGTAATGTTTGTTGCTTCAATTGGCTCTTAACAATGGATAAAGAGCCTATTTTCCCATATATACATGGCTCCCATCAATGGATAACAAACTAATTCTACCACATCTATACAGCTCTCAATGATGGACAAAGGGACAAACTTGCTATTTTACTTAGCCTTTGAAAATGGGCAAAAGGCTACATATTTTTACACATTTTCATTACACCAACTTCTAGAAACGGATAAAGGGTTGAATCTCTACATATTTTGTTTTACTAGCTCTCAAAAATGGACAAAGAGTCAATGCAACATGGTACAATTAGTGTGGACATGCCAAAATGGATGGAGTCACCATCTATCCAAATGAGGTGGGATAGATCACCAAGGTCTACGTAGAAATTAACTAGGCTCGGAGGGTCAGTTAAGCGTGGGGAAGGTGTTAGGCACCCCACAACTTCCATATAATATGGTTACCATATACTTTAATTACCAAAATAATAATAATAATAATAATAATAATAATAATAATAATAAACAAAAAAAAATCACTTAAAACAAAAAAAATTGTCATCATTTTTTTGTTTCGGTTTCCCTTTTTTTTTTGGACTTTTTTTTTGTTCCAGTTTTCCTTTTTTTTTTTGTGTTCGTATTTGCTTTTCACCTTTTTTTCTTCATGTCTATTTTTTTTACTTTTTTTTTATGCACTTAAACTACTTCATACTCCCTAAGATGGTTTTTTTTTTTTTTTTTTATCTAATGCAACCCTTTAGCTAAGTAACAACAGACCCTAAACTTCATGCATAAAACAAACTCAAAACAATCTGCAAATAATTATTTTGGATCGCAAGAAAACAAATTAATGGGGAAAAACAAGTGAAGTCATGTTTGCGGCAAGGTTCAAGATCAATTGCAGATAAACCAAGAAAGAAACAATAAAAAGGGCAATCAAGCAATTTGCAAAAGAGAGGAAGAAAGAACAAAATATGAACAAAAGAAAATGTAGAAAGAGAAAAAAAAATTATGAACAATGCACACCTGAAGAAGAGGAAAAATCAAGACTTTATCCTCTTGAAGTCCAAATACAAGTTTTTGTGTTTCCCCTTTCTCTCTCAACTCCCAAATCTCTCGTCCTCCAATTTCCTCCTCTCTTAGAAGCCGAAGGCCCCCCTTTTTATAGACAAAAGGAAAACCCAATCCTAATGTGCTTTAATACTCAAATCTCAATCCCTAAGATAACAACTCAATCCTATTTGGAATGGGATTTCTTAGTTTTCCCACATCTACCTCTTTTCTAGTCTAGATTCATACCTTCTATGCTTAGAACTCCCTTCTTTGAATCAATTTCGAACTCTTTTTTTGCGCCTCTTGTTGATGACTTTCAATCTCCATAAATTTCTTCAAAACTTGAGTAGATTTAGGGATAAGTCAAGAAAATTTTTATTGATTTTTCTGTTTTGAGAGGGGCTGGCGACGGAGCAAAGAAAGAAATGGGTTTGGGTGGCTAGGGTTTTCAACCTTTATTTCAACTTACAAGCAAAACGACGTCGTTTTGCTAGTTTCTCCTCTCAACCCTTCAAGCTTCACACTTTTTGCAAAAAATGGTCCGTGAGCTTTTACTTTTATCATTTAGCCCCAAAATTGGGTTATGACAATTAGTGTGAGGCTAGTAATAGTTACAACCTTGTGATTGGTTGGAATGGCTACCCTCTAGCGATAAAGATCCATCAAGGTGTGGTCGGCGGCTCCTTAGTGGTCACTTATGCATGGTGGTGCAGTACCCAGCAGGCAAAAACAATCAGGACCACCTTTTGATGGTGTGGGTACGGCAAGAAGGGCCATCATTTTATCATGGTATCACACCTTGTTTGTATCGAAGGCCATGAATGTGGTTGGTAATCCCCCTTCCATGGACAACACTTCACCCATTTTTATCATATTTTCATCACTATACTGGAGTCTAGAATTGATGAGATTTATCCCTTTTATGGCTTGGCAAATTGTTGGGAATGCTCTTCAATTCCATAATTCACGCTTTAGCCATGGGCAAAGCTAGTCACTATTGTCCTTCTAGCTATAAGAAAGCTATTCTTAGCTGACCTTGAGATGTTTAACATAGTCGACAATCATGCACATCATTATTCTTTCTATACAAAGGGACAAAATTATTGGTAGTCGATAATCCCAATCTACAACATATTTTTTTTTATATTTTTATGTGTTGGTAGACATTGTTGACCAACGACACTTGACCTAATAAAACGATACTACAACACACATTTATATCATTCATCCCTTATCTTGGTGCATCACTAGACTTATACAGCTATATTATATAGACGCTTACTTTGACCAGTGGATAAAAAGGTGCAACAATGATTATTTTCTTCATCCCCTTCAATACACAAGGGAGTGTTCTTCTTTACTGCTCATATTTATATATTTTTCACTTATACATTTGAACAAATACTCATTCATATTTTCCTCTTTGATGTAGATGAACATAAACCCATGAATCTAAGCTTATGGAGATTATTTTGGATAAGCTATGAAAACAGTGGCTTTCCAAGCATGGATGGATGAACAATGCCTATCTAGTGAAGTAAGGTATTCGTGCCAACCAAGCTTAGAACTGGCGATGTTGCTTGCCTTCGTTAGGAAGGGCTAGGCGGCAAACATGTGGAGGCAAAACTTGATCCCAAAACTACACTATTTGATGCTAACTAGAAAGCTTGGAATCCCAATAAAAATCAATCAGTGATGCCATTTGAGTCTCCATCACCAGTCTGCAGTTATGTTTAATGCATAGATGGTTGCACAATTTTCATTGCATGAGAAACTAGTTATATTTTGCTTAGGAAAGTCATCAAAATCTTGGACAAAGATGGTTTTGTCGGCAGTACTCAATTGCACAACATATGTGGTATTTTGCATGGATAAAGGGTTACCAAGGGTGAAAAGTCCCCAACAAACTAGCAATCCTTGTTGAATACATTGGATAATCCATTATTACACTTTAAAGCTATCAGCAGTGCTCAGATCCACCCAAAACTTGACACCTATTCTCACACAACCCGAATCTACCCATTAAATTGTTGGGTTACTTTGTCCCACCAACTCAAATTACAAAAATGACACTGCATATATATATTTGGATTTTTTTCCTTCATTTTCAATAAGCCTTTCTTAGATTTTCAAAAAAAAAAAAAAAAACCCATTCCATGCACTAGACCCATAATTTTCGCTCTTAAGAGAACTTCATCTTCAACCTCTTGATATACATACAAAATTCCCTAGAAATCTCCAGTTTCCTCATATTTTCTACATTTCCAACTATACAATATACACTCCAGACTTGCAGCACATCATGGTTGGTGGACTTCATGCTACAATTTAAGATTCTAGGTTGTCTTTCTTGAGAATAAAAAGATCAACTAGCAAAGTTGACATCAAGACATGGGATTAAGTTCTCCATTCAAAAGCCCCCACAACAATCATCTTTCCTTCTCCCATCACTACTTTCAAGTTTATCCCTCTTTGTTTTATGGAAATTTGAAGAAGATTATTGTGTTTTTTAACCACAACATGAGAGTTGCTCATTTTAGAGTGAGAGTATTTGTTAAGGATAGTAGAGGACATCTACTGTGGATACTATTATTCTACAATGTATTTTTGTTTGTGCCTATGATTTTGATGATTACAAAACACACTTGAATTACTAATTTGTTTATCTAAGTGTATAGTTTATGACCTGAAAGCTGGCAAGAGTGAATGAACTTGGACTACACTGTAAAGGAACCAAAATGTTGAAATTGGTATAAATATGATTGGTAGAAGTCTTGAAACAAGTTTTAGATATTTTTCATTGTATATTACTCATTTACCAATTTGTGATCCTTGTGCTTTAACTTGAGATTTTGATCAATGAGTGATCTTTACTTGTAGGTTAAATGCTAATTTTGGTCCCTCAACTTTAAGGTTTTGCACAATTTTCATTCCTCAACCTCTCTTTTTTCATTATTTTGATTCCTTAACTATGAAAAATGCATTTTTATAGTCTTCTGTTAGTTAATCCATTAAATCTATCTAATTTTGAAGTTGAAGGATGAAAAATGTGCATATATTAGAAGTTAGAGTTGAGGAACTAAAAATGTGCAGATTTAGATAGACTTAACGGATTAATCGATGGAATGACTAAAAAGTGCATGTTTCATAGTTAAGGGACTAAAAAAGTGCAAAAAAAAGTTGAGGGATAAAAATTGTGCAAAATCTTGAGTTGAGGGACCAAAATTGACATTTAACGTTACTTGTAATCCTCTACTTATTTTCTTTGAGAGTTATCTTGGGGGTGTGATTATTCCCTCAAGAGTGATTTGTAGTGTGGATTATTGGGTTTGTCTTGTAAAAGGGTGAGGTTTGTGAGAAAACCCTTCTTACTGTAAAAGGATTAAATGGCTCTTTTAAGCCACCCTTGATCTTGTTAGTGAAAAAAGTGAAGGAAATCCTTGGTGAGTGAAACCAAGGTAGAGAACTAGACTCCAAGTTGTTGGACCAAACTTTTATAAAATCTTTATGCAAGCTTCTCTTCTTTACTCTCTTTGGTTTTTGCTTTGTGGTTACAAAGAGGAAGAAAATTTTGAAATTGCAATTCACCCCCCTCTTTGAGTGCATTTAGCCAACAATTGGTATTAGAGCTAAGGCTCCAATTTGAAGATTTAACCACCTAGGAGTTTATCAGGGATGGCTCAATTTCAAGCTACTACACCACCTGAAGGGGTTTCTACTACCAAGCCTCCTTTCTATGGTGGTTCTAACTATAATTATTGGAAAAATGGGATGAAGGTCTTCATGTTTGCTAATGAACCTAAGGCATGGCTTGTGACTATGAATGGTCCATATATGCCAATGAAAGTTGTTGGAGAAATTGAAGTGCCAAAGGAAGAAATTGAATGGAATGATGAAAACTTGGACAGGACTAAGATCAACAACAAAGCAAGCAATATGCTTCAATCTGTTGTCAATCCAACGAAATTTAAAAGAACATTTGGGTGTGATACAACTAAGGAGATTGGGACATGTTGGATACAACACATGAAGGGACAAATCAAGTGAAGTAAAAAATCAATAGACTCATTCACATGTATGAGCTTTTTAAGATGAAGCCAGAAGAGAGTATTTAAGATATGTACATAAGATTTAATAATATAGTCACGAATCTCAAAGCTCTTGGAAAGGTATATCCTACTAAAGAATCGGTGAGGAAGATCTTTAAAAGCTTGCCTAAGAGTTGCGAAGCTAAGAAGATAGCAATTGAAGAGGCCAAAAATATTAACACTCTCAAGCTTGATGAGCTTATTGGATCTTTGATGACATATGAGATTGATACTCAAAATGATGTTGAAGTTGAGGTGGTTGAGAAAAAGAAGAATGCTGCATTCAAAGTTAACAAACAAAAAGAAGAAAATGAAGATGATGCTAGTGATGGTGAAGATGATGCTAGTGATGGTGAAGACATCACCACCTTGGTGTTGGTGAAGACATCACCACCTTGGTGTTGGTGAAGACATCGCCACCTCGGTGTTGGTGATGTTGCTCGACTTTGCCAAAAAGAGCTGGGTGGTGAAGATGTAAAAGTGAACATGATTCCCAAAACATTACCTTTTGATGCTAACCTAGAGCTTGAAATCCCATGAGAGATTAACCAAAGATGCTATTTTAGTCTCCATTAGCAACCTACAGCCATATTCAATGCAAAGGTGGCTACACAAGCTACGTTGTATTGGGAACTGCTGAAAAGGTTACCTTCTACTTGGAGAATCCTCAAAAAATCCTACACAGACCTTAGGGAATCTACCAAAATCTTGTGCAGATGTTATTTTACTAGTTACACTCAAGTACTTGCCTAAAATTGGGATTTCGTATAGCTAGAGGAATTACCAAAAATAGGTAATTTCCAGTTCTTTGCTAGAACTAGCTAAACTTCGCTTGAACCACTAGGTAATTCATAATATCATTGCTAGAAAGTTGTTAGCAGTGCCTAAAGCTACTCAAAGCTTGACAACTCACCTAACTCTACCCATTAGGCTACTGAGCAGCTTTGACCCATCAACCCAGAAATTACAAAAATACCATTGCACATATATATATATATTACTTTTTTTAAGAAGAAGAACATATTAGATTCTTCACGACCCTAGTTTTCCTTCTCATGTTTAGACTTCCATTTTCCAAGCAATAGCTTTTTCACCTCCAATCTTTCACCACACACACCCATCAACCAAGAAACTATCACTCACCTTCATATATTCTACATTCCCAATTCTACAAGATAATTCCAAGATTTGTGGAACAACATGGCTAGAAGACAATATGGTGCAATTTCAATTTCTCAACCATTTTTCTTAAGCATCAGAAGATCAAGTTAAATGGTTAGCATCGGGAACGAGATCAAGTCACCTGCTTGCAAGCCTCCCAAGTGATCATCTCTCCTTTTCCCATCACTACTTTCAAGTTTAGCTCTTGAGAAAGCTTTAAAGGAGGGATTGTTGTATCCTATATTTCCATCATGAAGGCTGTCCGATATAAAGTGAGGGTATTTACTAGAGACCATAGAGGGCACATTTACTACATTATTATTATGTCATGATTTTATACACATAAATGTGCTTCTCAAGTTGTAATCTTGGAACTTCAAATATTTTGTATCTTTAATGCTCCCACCATAATGTATCCGTTCATTGTCTACTTTTTATAGTTATGTAATCACTCTCGGTTTATGGAATTCCATTACCCTTGCTTAACTCTTTCTCTTCTCTACGGTTTGACTAGAAAATTCGTACTTTCAAACTTGGTTTGAGAATCCACTACTAATTGACACCATTGGGCAAATTAAAACAACCCGTGGCATGTAGCCTCTCACATGTGAAACGGATGTTGCCAAAAAGACCCTCCTCATTTTTTCAGGTGTCTTCATAATCAACCTCCACATCATCGCCATTGCCAACTCATCATCCTATATCATCAGCACACCCTCAACAAAAAATGGTGACTCCACTAGGGAGGTCGTTTAGAGCTTCGTTTCATTTTGCTCTTTTTCAGCGGTATAATATCTTTGACATTCCTTCTCAACTATTCACCTCCAATAAAGGTTTTTGGCCACGCTTGTCACGAGCGTCTCACATCACTAATGGAAACTACGAGCCTGGCCAAGATGATGGACGGGAAGTTCAGCAGCCATGTCCATCGACAGATGTTTTCAATATTTCTTGCAAGGAATCTTTAACCCCAGCCTTGCGTCTTTGGTCCAAGTATTTGGGTCTTGCACAAGGATCAACTAAGGACCACTCAGCTTCTCACCAGTTTGCAAACTCAACACATCGAGCAGGGTTAAGATCAACCAGCCAACATGGTTGGAACGTCTCAACTACAGCAACCATAGGAGATTAAGACTAGGGCAACCAATAGTAATGGGGGCTTTACATCACCACTGGGTAACTCAATCCCACTAATGATTGTTATCGTTGGTACTGACGGGGCTCCACCTAACGTAGCTTCCTGCAATATGATGTGAGAAAAGGCAACACTATAGAACACGTCAGTAAGTTCCTTGATGCCATGGGGCTCACATTGGTGATAAAGACTTGTGCTTACGTGAGTTTTCCAAATCCCTTTTCGATAGAGCTTATACAAGGTACACTACTTTGCTTTCAGCCTATGTCTGTTCTTAGGGTGAGATTGTGAACAGTTTTGCTAAAAATATTTTTAAAGCGACGAGTGCATCACCATCCTTAATCTCCACAATACTCGCCAACACACCGATGAGGATTTAATGGTCTATGTAAAGAGGTTTAGAGATTTGGCACTTGACTACTACGGTGTCCATGCTAAATCTTTCCTAGTGGAGATCTGCATCAACAATATGTTCCTAGAATATCGTGTTGTCCTTGAAAATATTGGGACCAATCAATTTGCAAGATTGCTTGATGTTGCTAGGAGAACAACTATTTCGCTCAAAGCCGTCTCTATTGGGAAGTCAACAGTGAACCAAAGGAGAAGAAAACTACAGCTCATACCCTAGTTGTCTATGTTTGTGGCCAAGGACAAGGTTAGAAGAAAAGAGACCGTGACACAACATCGCCACCACCTATTCCTTTCAGTATTGAAAAGCTTGATGTGCTCTTAGATCAATGGATTACTGATGGTGCCATCACATTACCTCAATTGCTTCGCGAGCCTAGCGATGATGATAAGTGCAATCCCAAGTACTATCGTTACCACTACTTTGTCCATCACTCCACCATGGATTGCTTTTCTTTGAGGATTCATCATCATCGGGCCATGGAAGGGTTATTGGAGGTCCCAAATAGAAGGTAAAGAGTGGACGAAGATCCCCTTCCTCGTTATAATCAAAATGCTGTTAACATTCTTACTCATGTGGAGAACATTGGAATAAGTGCATCGATAGTTGAGTTTCTCGATGATGCACCTAATCTTTTTGTCTGTGCACTCCAACGAACTCCAAAGTTCAAGGTGTTATTCGATCCACTTGGATTTACTATTGAAACATGACAAAAAGCCACAAAGGCTATCCTCCCCATCACTAATGAGATTGGGGAAGAATGCCTCAATGTTGAAGCACACACTAGCCTTGCTTATCTTGAGTCCTCCAATGCCATCACATTCACCAATGAAGATAGGAGGCACCATATTTGGACAACAAATAGCCTTTTTATTTACCTACTCAGATCAACTCTGTTGGTGTTCAAACGAGTGCTCATTGATACTGGATACTTTCTCAACCTAACATTGTTGAGCACCATCATTGTTGTAGGAATTCCTTAGCGAAGGATCGTTAGGTCTACACTTAGCACTGTTGGCTTTGGCAACAATAGTGAACATGCCCATGGATACATTCAGCTTGGATTAAAGGTTGGTCTGATCCAATCCCAAACTACATTTTATGTTATTGATGCGGAAGTTTCTTATCATATATTGCTGGGATGGCCCTGGTTGCATCGACACAAAATTATTCCTTCCACTTATCATCAATGTGTCAAGGGCCGTCTAAATGGAAAGGTTCTTTGTGTCTTTACCAACCCATTACCATTTGATCAGACTAAAACTCACTTCGTTGAAATCACTTTTTATGACGAGTTCGCTCCTTTTGGCAAAGTGACGGTATCTCATTCGAGCGGCACTACTTTGCCAACATGGAACAACATCAAGGATAATCCTAATCTTGATTTGAGAATCGTCCTTGAGTACAAAAGGTAGAAGAAGGAGGCAAGAAAGTCTATCCAAGCGCACCCAAAATGCACTCAAACTATCTTCCCTGATGGGAGGATCAAATATACTTTATGAAGGTGCACGAGGCCTCTTGGCCACGTGTGGGTTGGCCTCATCGTTAGTAGTCTAACCATGCCTTTTAATCATTTGTTCTTTGCCTTAAAGAAAGACCCTTTGACTGATGAGCGATTTTTTTTCAACGAAGTAGAATGCCATACTCTTGAGGCTGGAAATAAAATATTCACTGAACATCTAGAGTTTTCTAGTGAAGCTAATCATTTAATAACGCTAGCCAAGTTACCAACCCTCCATGAGGCTCAATCAACACTTACTTCTCTAGAGTCTTCTGAAGCTGCTGATCTTGGGGATGATCTAGCAAACCCTAGACATGTACATATTAGCACTGCTCTTTCTGTTGAGGAGAGAGCAAAAATGATCGATTTGCTTCGGTAACACAAGGATGCCTTTGCGTGGAACTATGATGAGATGTCGGGGCATGGTCTAGCCTTGGTGGCACATTCTCTAAATGTTGATCCCAAAGTAAAGTTGGTTGTGCAGCCAAATCATGCCTTCTATCCAGAAGTCACCCTCAAAATTAAAGAAGAAATTGAGAAGCTCTTGGTTGTAGGATTCATCAAACCGACTAAAAAGCCCACTTGGCTAGCAAATATTATGCCAATTTGAAAGAAAAATGGGCAAATAAAATGCTTGTTGACTTGACCTTAACAAGGCATGTCCGAAGGATGAATTCTCTATTCCAAACATGGATGTGCGGATGGATAACACCGTTGCTTGTGAAATGTACTCTCTTATGAATGGCAGCAGCAAGATAACCGAGTATGTGTCCTAACAATGCAAGGAAGACTACTTTTTGCACTCTTGTCGGTAATTTGTATTATGTTGTTATGCCTTTCAGACTAAAAAATGTTGGGACTAGTTATCAAAGGGTCATGGTGGCTATTTTCATAATTTCCTCCACATTTACGTTGAAGTTTATATTGATGACATTGTGGTAAAGTCTAAAACAAGGCTGGGCCACTTTGATGTGTTGAGTAAAGTCTTAAATAGATGTCGTTTATACAAACTAAAAATAAACCTAGCAAAGCGTGCATTTGGCATCTCCACTAGAAAGTTTCTAGGTTTTCTTGTGAACAAACATGGCATCAGTATGGATCTAGTTAAGTCTAAAGCTATCCGAGCCATGCAGCCATCTAAGAATCTTAGACAGTTGTGAAGCTTTATTGGCAAAGTTTCATACATACGTAGATTCATCCATTCGTTGGCAGATATCTGTCTGCATTTAGCCCTTTACTGAAAAAAAGGGCTGCCTTCATATGGACAAAGGAGTAGCAATGTGTCTTTCTGCATCTTCAAGATCTTGTGCTCAAATTGCCAACCATATTAGTTCCTATCTAAGGCAGGCCACTTAAAGTTTATCTATCCACTTATGGCAAAGTTGTGGGTGCTCTATTTGCGTAAGATGATGAAGAGGGCAAGGAACAACCGGTTTATTATGTCAGTCGAAACCTCAAAGGTGTTGAATCAAGGTATGCTCTTGTTGAGAAAATTTATCTTGCTTTAATTTATGTATCTCAACATCTTTAACATTACTTCTTGGCTCATAAAGTGCAACTATAGTAAGTCTTAGCCCATTTGGTACCTTTTGACTTGACCCATGCTTATTGGTCATCTTACTAATTGGCTTCTTTAATTGTTCCAATATGATATTACATGCATTAATCCTACTGCCATCAAGGGACAGGCTGTTGTAAACTTGTTGTCTGAGTTTTCTAACGATGTCTAACATCTTATTTCTGACAAAGTCCCGGGTGGTGAATTTGCCTCTATGCAAGAAATTGAAGAAGAATGGATATTATACTTTGATGGTTCTTTCGTGGTGAAGGGGCTAAGGCTGGTGACGTCCTCAGAGATGACAAGGGCCATGATATAGCATTTTCATTCAAGCTTGATTTTCAATGCATGAACAACATGGCTAAGTACAAAGCCTACCTTACTGGCCTTGTCATAGCTAAAGAAGCCGATGTACAACACTTAAAAATTATTGGTGATTCATGTTTGATTCTTGGCTAGGTTCAAGACACTTTTGTTGTTCGAGAAAAACACCTTGTGCCATATTGCTCTCTCAGCCAAAAGTTGGAATGGTCCTTCGCTAGCCTAAGATATGAGCAGGTGCCATGGATGGAGAATCGACTGGCCAATGCCTTAGCCACAATTACCTCAAGGGTGCCTATGATTGAGAATCCCTTCAACATTCAGATCTTTCGAAAGGAGTAACCCATTTATCATAATTGTAAATCTACTCTACTAGAGCTGCCTGACCATGTAGACTGGCGATATAATATTTATAAGGCTCTGTTGGAGCAAAAACTAGATGTGCCTTTGAAAGATCTACCCAGCTATGCTATTATCTCTCATGAGCTACATTATCACCTCCTTGGTGGTATTTTGGCTAAATGCATCAAAGATAAAGAGGCATTTCACAAGCTTAGGGGAATTCATGAACATACATGTAATCAAGACAACCGTGTGAGCCTATACCATCGAGTCTAACGAGCAGGGTATTGTTGGCTAGACAGGGCACAGCAAGCTGCTGAATTGCAACAGCAATGTGTGTCCTATCAGCAAACTTATTATTTAAGCAAAGTATACTTTGCTGCTAACTACGTTCAAGATTGGTACCATCCTTACATGGAATATTTCGTTGAGGGAATATTACAAGAATCCTTGAAAGATGCACACAACTTAAGATCTTTTTCGAAGTTTTTCATATATGGCAGAGTTTTGTTTTGCAGTAGCTTCACAAGCAAACCGCTTCGCTGTCTACCATTGATGGAATCTCAAAAGGTCATGGTTGAAATACATGTAGGAGAATGTGGCGAGCATCAAGGGCAAAGAAAGCTATATGACCAACTCCTAGCTCATAGTTATTACTGACCAAATATGAGGTAGGATGCCATAGACTATGTTCGACGATGTCACACTTGCCAGGTTCATGCTAGCATTATTCATTCTCATCCCAATTTGTTGCAAGATAAGAAAAAGTCCTTAGCCTTTCCATACCTTGGGCTTGGATCTTATTGGTCTTATTCATCCCCCATCCGAGGGTTACATCTAGATATCGACGACCACTAAATATTTTACTAAATGGGTGGAAGCCATCTCTCTTCGCAAGGCTACAGGTCCAGCAGTATCAAACTTCATCAGGGAGCATATTATTTGCCACTTCAAAATACCTTACAAAATTTTAAGTGACAATGGGACTCCCTTTTTAATCAGTATGTGCAAAGATTTTTGGACACCTATAAGATCAAGCATTGAAAATCCACTCTTTACTATCCCCAAGGTAATGGCTAAGCGAAGATGACCAATAAAAGTTTGTTAAGGATTTTAAGCAAAATGGTCCATGAATACGAAGGGGGATGGAGCATTCATTTGCAAGATACTCTTTGGGCTCATCAGATGTCATCCAAGACTACCATAGGTTCTTCACCTTATTTTCTAGTTTATGGCTGTGGTGTTGTCCTTTCTGACGAAGTCCTAGTGCCAACTACACGCATCTTGGCTACATCAGAACTAGATAGTAATGTTGATATTTGTGACTAGAAGCGAGTTGAAGACTTGGAGTTTGTCAAAGTAGTTCATTGGATAGCATAAGAAAAAGCTCAAAAATATCTAGCCAAGATGACAAATTCCTATAACTGTGCAGTCAAAGCCAAAATTTTCATGGTTGGACAGATGGTTCTCAAAACTTTTGACCATGTGAGGAGGAACATCGTTGGCACTTCTAAGTTTGCTATAAACTAGGATGGTCCCTTCATCATTGCAGAAGCACATGATAGTGTATATTACTGCCTCAAAACTCATGAAGGAGAACCATTACCATACCCTATAAACACAAAGTGGCTCAAGCCATATCATTGCTAAGCTTCACCAACATCGCTACTAGAAAAGTAAGCACTTTCCATTTTGTAATTTTACCTTCAGCATTATAATTTGTTCCAGTCAAGAGGATTAACCTTACCTATGTTTCCCATTATGTGTAAAGTGCAAATAACACTCTCTTATTGTATTCAACACATTATTTAGTAGCCTGTTTATATTCCTTTTGCTTTGCACTATCGTTGTGTG